TACAGCCAGCCCAGGGAGAGGAGGAAGGTGAGGAAGAGCAGGCCAAACCAGATACAGTCGCACTGTAAAGGGGCAGGAGAGAAGCTCACAGATGATGGATCCCCATCTCGCGCTCAGAGTCCCCAATGGGTGGCAGCTCAAGAGAGCTTCCTGCCATGCATTGGGCTGCTCTGCTCTGGGCTGCTCTTTCCATATTTGAGGGAGATTTTCTTTCTGGGGAGAGAAAAACCCCTTCCTCCCAGCTGCCTAGGAGCACAATTGGCCTCCTTATCCCCTCGATCAGCGTCTGCCTTCTGCCTTCCAGCCTCCCCCCCAACCCTACTCCACCTTGCTCGTTTTCATCCTCTCTTTGGGGCATTTCCTCCAGTGGCAGCTATACAGGCAGTGGAGGCAGCGGGCCCAGACGGAACAGCAGCCAGGGGCCATGGTGAAGGCCTGGGGGAAGGGACACTCGGCCATCAGGGACCCTGGAAGAGGGCATATCCCAGCCTCCCTCCCAGACATCTGAGGAGCCCGTGGGAGGGGCAGTCCTGGGCCGCTGCTCAGCAACGGAGGGAGGTCACGGCCCAAAGTGCTGGATTGTATGAGGTGAATAACCGTGGCTCCATGCCTGGCAAAGAGTCTCTGGGGTCATTCTGTCCCCTTGATTCTCCATACCTGGAAGGTCAGTGGGACACCCAGGAGGTCCAACCTTTTTGCAGGCAGAATGCATACCCACTCTCTCCAGCTCCTCCCTATTTAACTGCATCCATCTTTGGGGTTGGAGTGCTTACCCAGGGTGGAAACTCAGGAAAACTGCCCCAGGGTGGGGCAAACTCAGTTCAGCAAGTTGAGGCAGATCTGGCCAAGCTTGAGGCAGCCCCATGTTAAGTTACCTTCCACCCCAGGAAGCAGGAGTAACCTGAAGCAGAGGTTCCAGCTCTGACCTGGGGCTAAAGGAGGCCTAGCTAGTTGGCTAGTTGCTATGGATACAGAGATTGTACAAACCACAAAGCCCTGACTGAAAGATTCTCTGTGTCCACTTCCCAGGGGGTAGGGGGCACTGCCAATAAGAGAAAGCTTTGAGGGGGAACAGGTTGCCTGGGTCACTTCCAGACTTCTAAAGGAACCATTTTTGTATCTGCACACTTCTAGAAAATCCAAGCCCTCCCACCCTAGTCTTGTCCTTTCCTGCCCAGTCATCCTGCCCAGTCACACCCCCCCACACCAGAAACCCAGTCCCGCCTTCCCCGCCCCACCCTCTAAGTTAGCTTCGGTGAAAGTACAACACACACAGGGCAAAGGTGTGTATGTGGGGGTGTGGTTGTCTTGGGGCAGGGGCTCCTTTTGCCTTGGGCTTCTGGGTCTGGCTGATCCTCTAATGGGTTGGATATGTGATTATGGTTCTACATGAGAGTGTGTGCAATTTTTTAGGGTACATATGCATGTGTGCACCAGTGGCTGTCAGGATGAATGGGTTTCTAGATGACTTGGAGTATGTGAAGGAGCTCTTGAATACATCTAAAGTATATGTGTGTGTGTGTGTGTGTGTGTGTGTGAGTGTGTGTGTATGTTTGTGTGGTCTAAGAAACAGGACCCTTTGCCATCTAGGCTCCCTTGAGGCTGTGGAATCTTAGGGGAAAATACAGTGGCTGGGCCTCTTCAAGGAGGATGGGTGTGGCTGCTCCTCAACTGACCCCCTTACTCTATGCTCACCTTAGGAAAGGAGGGATGGGGCAGGGGGAGTGGGGGGTTAGACTGGGGGGAAGGAAATCTCTCCCCCCTCCCTGAACCCATTCCCAGGAGTCAGCCAACCCAGAGGAAGGCCCCTGGGCTGTTGTAGCCTGCTCTGGGCTCTGATCCACACCTCTTGCCTCCCCTAGGGTCCTATCCTTGCACCCCAGATTGCCTTCTAGACTCCCACCTCCCTCCAGGAGCTACCTGTAGGATCTGAACAGCCCGAGAACCCCAAGCAGGGGATCTGACAAGGGCTCTTCTCAATCCCTGGGCCCAGTAATTATCCGGTGGAACCAGTCTTCACCTCCCAGCTCCCCCCTGTAGCCCCCAGCCTTCCCAAGCCCTCACACCTTATCTCAGCGGCAGCTCTGCTCTGGTCTCTGCTCTGCACTGCTTCTCAGCTCCACTCCGAGTTGTCTGCCTCCTCCCTCTTCCAGTCCTTGGCTCAGCCCCACCGGTCAAACAGGTGGCACTGTTGCCACCTACAGGAGGATGTGTGGGTCCTCTCTGAAGGCCTGCTGCTACTCTATGGCCTGGCTTGGCCAGGGTGGGAAGACAGGAGGAAGCAAGTGGGAGGGAGAGCAGCTCTGCTTCTTTACTCGCTGGCGGTCAGGGGGCTTGGGGCGAGGAATTCCTTTGTGCAGCCTTCCCCATCCCTCTGTCCCTCCTCCTATTCCCCTCCCAGTCACTGCCGGGGCTTTGTCCTGGCTCAGGGAGGCGAGGGCTGAGGGCACTAGCGGCAGCTGGAGGCTGGGAGGGGGGAGGTGACCACGCAACTTTGCAACTTGGCAGTGAGAAGGGGCCCTGCTAGCCCCCTGGAAACGCGCTTGTGTGAGGAAGTCTAGCTAGCATCCAGTCTCAAGCTCCCTGGGCATACAGCTTTGATTCGTTAGCCTGCCTGTCTTCCCTCTTGGGCTCCTACTTTTAATTTTGCAAGGTACATCACCAAGACTTGTAGTTGAAAGCTACTTCCTGAATTCGGGGTAACAGGTTGCTTTGTTTCTGGACCAGGGGTCCCTAGGGTCCTTGTGGATCTGGGGTGACAGTAGCCTGTTCCTTGGCTCGCTACTCCACGCAAGATGTTCATTCAGGTCATGCTGAGACTTGTATCATTCCTGCTGCCATGTCCCCAGAGCATCAAGTCTCTATGAATCACTGTGAGGAGTGTATAATATGTTGAGGTTTCAGGCTTTTTGGAAGATGAACACACACAGAAGATGCTGTTACTCTAGCATCAGCAGGAGAGAGTGGCCTAGCAAGTTAATTTAGTGTAAAGCGCAGAGGCTGGCATGGGCTAGGGGCTGGGGACTGGCTTGATGGGCTGATCCTCTCTGCATTCTGGCTGATGCAGTGACTTGAGGTCCAGGGGCTAGCACAGTGTTGGTGGGAAAGAATATTGTCTCTAGGGATAAGCCAGCTCCCCCTCCCCCTACAGGCACTGGATTTCAAACAGTGAGAAGGAAGACTGGCTCTCCTCTGCCAAGAGCTGGTCCCCTCCCTCTCTGCCTTTTCATTGTATCCAGAGGCTCTAGTTGGCAATGGCAGAGCCTCCCTTGCTCTCTCAGAATTAAAATGCAAAGAGAAGCAGGGCTGCTTGCTGGCAGGAGGCCAGGGAGGGCCAGTGGGTCACCCAGTCCTTGGCAGGCTTCATTCTAGGCAGGTTGTTGTTCAATTTCCTTTGCTTAGACTGTGGTGGATTCTAGAGTCTCAGCTTTTAAGTTCTTGCGGATGGTGTGGGAGCTTTGTAACTGGGATTCAATATGCACAAATATGAATCCCTGGGCTTGTGAACTCCCAAAAGGCTACAAGTCCAATCAGGAACCTGTGTATGATGTTCCAGGGCTGGCCCCCTTTTAGCTTTAAGTAGAGATGGAGAACACTCTGAAAGGAGAAAGCAAGTAGCCAGCACTGTTCTGTCCTAGAACTGAACAGCAGTGTGGTCCCACACCAAGAAATTGGGCTGCAGGGCATTAGAAAGTGATACATTAGCTAGGTATGATGGTGCATATCTATAATCTCAGTGACTCAGAAGGCTCAGATAGGAGGATCACAAATGTGAGGCCAGCGATAGCAACTTAGCAAGGCCCAAAGCAACTTAGTGAGACCCTGTCTCAAAATAAAAATTAAAAAGGGCTGGGGATGTGGCTCAGTGGTAAAGCGTGTCTGGGTTCAATCCCCAGCACACACACACACACACAAAAGTCACACATCAGATAGGTTAAGGTCTTAGCTTTATTATTCCAAACTTTATGATTCTAGATAAGTTACCTAACTTCTTTGTACATCAGTGCTATACTTTGGACCTGGAATGTTTCTCAAAGGCTCATGTGTTAAAAACTTGGTTCTCAACCTATGGCACTCTTTGGGAAGGTGTGGAACCTTTAAGAGGTGGGGCCTAGTGGAAGGTGCTAAGTTCATTGGGAATGTGCCCTTGAAGGGGACAGTGGGACCCCAGCTTCTTCCACTTGTTTGCATTCTGGCCACGAGGTGAGCAGTTTTGCTTCACCATATGCTTCTACCATGATATGCTGCCTCATTACAGGCCCCAAAGTAAATAGAACCAACAAACTATGTAGTAGAACCTCTGAAACTATGAGCTAAAATAAAACTATTCTCTTCAGAAACTGATTATCGCTGCAGTGAAGCTGACTAACACACTGTTTCCTCATCAGCAAAATAAGCATTTTTTTGTGAGGAGCAAGTAAAATTATGGCAGGAACATGGAGATGCTTAATAAATGTAGTTCCTTCCTCCCAGATCTGGAGGCAGGCAGATTTTAGAGTGGAGGTCTGGCCACTGGCCTTGCTACTGTTATTCGAGTTTCTTAGGGTAGCAAAGCAACATAAGATAAAATATGGTAATCTATACTCTCCTCTGAGAAAGAGAGTAGCTATACAAAAAGACAGGATGGGCTGGTGGTGTAACACAGTGGTAGAGTTCATGCTTAGCACATGTGAGGCCCTAGGTTCCATTCCCTAGCACTGCAAAAAAGAAAAAAAGTGGTAAGCAATTTCCCCCAAAAGGTAGGTTCAAGAACTTTTTTAAAAAATATATTTTTAGTTGTAGATGGACAAAATATCTTTATCTATTTATTTATTTATTTTTATGTGTTGCCAAGGATTGAACCCAGTGTCTCACACATGTGAGGCAGGTGCTCTACCACTGAGCTATAGCCTTAGTCCCATCAGGAACTTTTAATCAATATCCTTACAGCTTTCCTAGGGGCTAGGGAACACAGGTTGAATTTTGTTTCTCTATCTAGCACCAAAGGATCTTCCCAAACAGTAGATGGGCTAAATTTTATTTATTTATTTAACATTTAAAAATATTTTATTTACTTAAGTAACATGGAAGACAATTGAGGGTCCTGTTAAAATACTTAAAATCCATACTCAGGGCAATAAAGATCCCTGCCCATTCTTGAGGTGGGGTAAAGAGTTTGAGCCAAGCCTCCATCCTGGGCCAGGCTCCTCCATTAAGCTGAGACAATTTATAGGGAAAAGCCTTGGCCTCATCTCCATCAGGAGACAGACATAACTGCTCACAAATGAAAAAAAAAAAAAAGCTAGATTGTGCTGAGGACTGGTTCCTGATGAGTCATTGGAAGGTCAGTTGGTTTTCTCTTCAGTAGGTGGCTCAGCACCTTCTGGAGAAGAAAGAGTAGTAGTCTGGGAAGGGGCTGGAGACTAAGGGCCAACATTCAACAAACTTCCCCTTCCCTTTAGTATCACTCTGTCTCTTTTCTTAACAGCAAGAAATCTGAAATCCAGAGAAGTCATCAGAAAACCCCTGTTGGCTGCAACCTGAAAATGTCTTTTAAGGCAGACGGGGTAGAAATGGTGACTTCAGCTTCAGTGGGCATCTTCTTCAATAGGGGAGAAACCAGAGAAGAAGCTGGTATTGCTGGCCAGAGCTCGCTTCTTTTTCTTCCCTGGAGCCTTATTTTCTCGGGCTTCTGTTGCTGTATGTTTCAGTTCTGGGAGGTTCAAGGAGGGCACAGCTGGAGTAACCTTCTTTAATAGCACCTGCTCCACATCATACATCTCTTTCAAAATCTAGGAAGGACAGACACAAGTTTGAATAGACTTTGGAAAGAGGCAGTACAAATGCTTAACAAAATCCCAGTAATACTTGGTATCCCCTAAGATTGCTCTATTAAATAAACAAACAAACCACTCCAGTCAATGCCCAATTTCCAGTTCCCAGAAAGTGGATAATATTTTTTTTCAAATCAGACTCTGTCATAGCTAGTGCAGTGATGGATGCTAATATAGTTTTCCAGTGCCTGCCTTATAGCCAACCTACCTTGCTGTTGGGAGTGGCACAGACGGGGTTGAAGAAGCTCAATCCTGGGGTCACCTCTGTGGGATCCTCCAGTTTGAAGGAGCCTTCGGAATCCTGGGTCCGTTCAACAGTGCCCAAGCTATCCTGAGAATCAGCCAGACGGGCATATTCTAAATTTGGCTACCAGGGTTACAAAATCAGTATGCTCCTCTCTAGCCAGGGAGGTCCCAGTTCTAATCAGTCAATCTAAGCTTGACTGGTCAATCTAAGCAAGTCTTAGGGAGACCACGCCTGGGCGGTCATAGAGCTTGACATGCTCTGTCCCTGAAGGAATGAAGCAATGCTTGGGGGTAGCCTCTGAGGCAGAGGTCTCAATAAGATAGCAGCACAGGACACAAGGCTAGATTTCAAACAAGGCCAACCAAGTCTTGGTCTTTCTTTCTTTTTGGTTGTTGCTGGGGATTGAACCCAGGGTCTTGTGCATGTAAGGCAAGCTCTCTACCAACTGAGCTATATCCTCAGCCCTTGGGTCATTTCTTTGATTAAACTTCTCCTCTCTATAATCTATGATAGCACCACTATAGGGTGTTGCCTGTATTAGTATTTCTTTTAGGTAAGGAAACTATGTCCAAGACAGAAGTCGCTTAGGTAACAAGGTGACTCTGTGTAGAACTTGGATTAGAATTATATAGCCTGTTGTTATGGAAAAAGGCCTGGATTAAGAGTCAGAAAGCCTGGCATCTAATCAAGTGAGTCACTTAAACTTATCTCTGGGCTTTAGTTTTCTTTTCTGTAACATGGAAGCAATGGACTAGACCAGTAGTTTTTATAACTGAAATCCTAAGAGGAAGTCCAATATATGAATAAATAAATTTGGCTGAAATGTGTTTGAGCCCCTTCAGGCCACACCTGTTAGCCCAGAAGCCCTTCCATGTAATAATCAACTACAGGACTCTAGAAACCAAAAAACCATGGAAATAAGGTCCTTACTACTTCTATGATTCTTATCTTGATCTCTAGCTTGCTGTTTTAGTTCTCTGATGCTTACCTATCTTCTAAGTATTTTAATAGAAGACCCATGGCAAAACTGTTTATGTGTAGTTGGTCAAGAAATGCATGATGAACGATCATTAGACTACACTTGGTAGACTTATTTTATGTCCTATGGAAAGTTGTAGCAATAAGTTTTGCCATGGACATAGGTAGATGTAAGGCAAGTATAGGGATCTGATCTGCTTGATACTATTCTTTTCAGGGCACATTTTGTTGCCCTGATTTTGCTATCCTATTCTTTTCAGGGCACATTTTGTTGCCCTGATTCTGCTATCCTGGGAGGAAAAAAAAGGAAGATAGCTACATTTACATAATACAGTAAGAGTCACAATGACTATTAGAGAGACCTGGTTCCTGTGGGTCTTCTCCTAGAGCCATGGAATAGCTGGTTCCCATGGAGAGGGTCTAATAACTAATGACTCAAGATGTCAGAAGGATTAACTTCTTTCCTGGAAGTTGCCAGCTCAGCACGTGGCTCTTACAGTTCCAGCTAAGCCTTTGGACTAGTTTGATCCTGCATGTCTATATGCCTGTAAATGCCTGCTTTTCTGTTCCGTGTTCCTGCCTCTGAAAGTGTACAGAAACTTTACAATTGCACACTTAGGAATCTCATGGGAAGAGCTGAGGTTTCTGAAGGGGGTGTGTGGACAGGTGAGCAGGGAGAAAGGACTGAAGACTATGCCTTTTTTCTGGGTGCAGAGAGTAGGAGAAGGGTAGGAAGAGCTACATAGGAGACTCCAGGTTGCAGGGTAGAAGGAAGAAAGAGGTTGGAAACTAGTGGGAATCATGAGGGAATGGTGAGGGGTAATGGTTGAGGGGAAATGGTATTGGTCCTACCTGGCCTTGCTGGCGGTTCCGACACTTTGTGGGGTCACAGCTACAGGCTACGCCACAGTCTGACTTTTGCTTCCTGCACCCACATTGCTTGTTTCCACACCAGCCCTTGCAGGAACACTACAAAACAAGTTTGTGGAAAGATACATTACTGAAAGGATTAGAAGCCTAGTTTAAAGTGCCTTCCCTTCATTTGCAAGCCTGTATAGAAAAGAAATGGAAAGTACCATCATCTGTATCAAACTTCAATCTCTTCAGTCATCTCTTTTTGTGAAATAATGATCACCAATAACTATCACAGGTTTAACTGAGAACATGTCATGCTTGGCAAATCCATTTTCTGTTTTGAATAGTATACTTGAAAGAGAAACGAGGGATAGCAATAATAATGCAAGGTGATTGATGGACTCCTTTTTTGTTTTGTTTGGTATTGGGGATTGAACTCAGGGGCACTCAACCACTGAGCCACATCCCCAGCCCTATTTTGTTATTTTATTTAGAGACAGGGTCTCACTGAGTTGCTTAGGGCCTTGCCTTTGCTGAAGCTGGCTTTGAACTCACTATCCTCCTGCCTCAGCCTCCCAAGGTGCTGGGATTACAGGCATGCACCACCATGCCTGGCTTAGATTCCTTTTTTTAAAAATATTTTTTCTAGTTGTTGATGGATATTTATTTTATTTATTTACATGTGGTGCTGAGAATCAAACTTAGTGCCTCACACATGCTAGGCAAGCGCTCTACCACTGAGCCACAACCCTAGCCCTAATGTTTTATTTTGACAATTTTATGGGCAAAGTGAAGAATTGCGAGCTGGATGGTAGTATACTTAGGTATATTTAAGGCCTGAGCATAGTTGCTTGATATATTTAGATCTATCTAATTGTATTTTCATCCAATTCACGTTTCTACATTTTGTCCAGTGTCAGCCTGGGCTTTTTTTTTTTTTTTTTTTTTTGCTAGTGGGGATTTATCCTAGGGGTACTTACCCACTGAGCCGCATCCCCAGACCTTTTTATATTTTATTAGAGACAGAGTCTTACTGAGTTGCTAAGTGCCTCATTAAGTTGCTGCAGCTGGCTTTGCACTTGTGATCCTCCTGCCTCAGCCTCCTAAGCTACTGGGATTACAGGTGTGCACCACCATGCCCAGCTCTTTGTCAGCACTTTAATCATTCAACGTTTTAACAAAGAATTGATGGAATGAAATAAAATCATTTACATTTCTTAATATTTTTTTAGTTGTAGATGGCCATAATACTTTTATTTATTTATTTTTATGTGGTGCTGAGGATCGAACCCAGTGCCTCACATGTGCCAGACAAGTGTTCTACCACTGAGCTACAACCCCAGCCCAAATCATTTATATTTGATAGCACTTTATAGTTTTCAGAGTATTTTCATATACGTAAATATGAACTCTCACAACCAGTTTACAAGGTAGGCTTATTTATCAGCTCTAACAATAGCAAAAATGATGATTATTATTTTTTATACCTTTGTTTTATTTATTTATTTTTATGTGATACTGAGGATCGATCCTAGCACCTCGCACGTGCTAGATGAGTGCTCTACCGCTGAGCCACAACCCCAATGCTGGAAGGATTATTAATAGGTAAGAGAAAAAAGTTGCAATCCAAAAATATTTTGACAGGCTGGAATTATAAGTTGAAAGTAGAAAGAAAAAGATCCAAATAGGAGTAAATTAAATTTGCTATTTGGGTCCCCCCCCTTCAAATCATCCATATAAATATAATATGGAGAGAAATCTAACTTAAAAGTAGTTTGTGCAGAAAGGGCCTAGGGATTTGAGATGTGAGCAAACTCTCTGTGTCAACAGTGTGAAATAGCTGTCAAAAGGCAAATGTAGTCAGGCAGAAATTTGGAGTTCAGATCATATGGGGAGCAATTATATCATGATACCCTGGGTCAGTTGAAGCCTATTTGAAATAATGAATCCCATTTTAGGGCACCATAATTTTTCACATATACAAAAGCATAGACAACAATAATAAGAAAAACCTCACTCATGTCCCTACCACCCCCTTAATAAGGTTTCCTACCCTGACCCTTTCTTAACCTCATTTGCCTCTCTCTCTCAGGAGTGAATAGTGTCCTGAATTACTGTAGGTGTTTATCATCCCGATGCATGTCTTTTACTGCATATGAATTTTTAAAAAAGTATTGTCTCAAATTTTAAACTTAATATAAATGGTAACTTATTTTATGTTGATACATTTAGCTTTAGTTGCATTCTAAAAACAGTTTATCTATTCTTCTGATAGTGACATTCTTCACTATTACAAACAAGGCTGTCATAGTAATAGCTAACATTAATATGTGCCTGACATTCTTATAAAGGTTTTCCCTATATTAAACCCATTTAATCAATATGCATATTTTCTTTTACACACATTGAGTTTTTTGTGCAAATATGTTTACTAAAGAGGAAATTAAACAAAAAAAAGTGGGTGACCAGATTATAGGAAGCAACGCTATAAGAAAAATAGTGGAACGGGTGGAACAGGCAGACATTATGTTAAGGAAAATAAGTCAGACACAGAGAGACAAGTACCAAATGGTCTCTCTTATATGTTCAAGGTAAAAAGCAAGTTGACCTGAATGTAGAATAGTGATTAATATCAGTTGGGAAGGGTAAATACGTGGGGGAAGAGGGTGGAGGGTGGATTTGATTAGTGCACAATATATGAATGTGTGAAAATTTCAAAATAAACCCCATGGATATGTATAATTAACATATATAAATAAAAATAAGATAATTACCTGAGTTTGATGGAGCATGCCTGTAATCCCAGAGACTTGTGAGGCTGAGACAGAAGGATTGAAAGTTTAAGGCCAGCCTCAGCAACTTAGTGAGATCCTGTCTCAAAATTAAAAATAAAAAGGGCTGGGAATGTGGCTCAGTGGTTTAGCACTCCTGGTTTCAATCCCAGTACCAGAAATAACAATAATAAAATAAAATAATTATATAAAGAAAGAAAATGGTAGAAGAAACTGGGATAGTTTGGCCTGGAAGAGACATGTAGGAGTCAGAAGGGACATCAATGAACTTCTAAAACCTGGTTTGATGCACAAAGCCCTTTTCTAACATCCCTGGTCTAGGTATCTGAAGCTCTATTTATCCAAAGATGATGACAGTTTCTATAACTTTTAACCCCAGGACCCAATTTTGCCATCTGGAATGACATGGAGTCAGTTTAATCTCATTTTAATGGCATAGTCATTCAAATATAATTTTTTTACTCCCCAGATTTCCCTAATTCTGTCCAAAGCTAAAGATACTTAGTTTCCTCAATGATTTACCAAATGATATGATTTCCAAGTATCCTCATCACCCTGAGTACACACCAATTTTTCAAAGTTCATTTTTAATTGTGAGATCCAAAAATGAACACAGCTTTCTTCACAGTGTGGAGTGTCCACTGTGAAATATACTATGACAAACACTTTCCTTGCTATGGATCTGATAGTCTAGTTAATGAAGCCTAGAGTCACAGTTGCTTGTTTTTTTCTTCTTATCACATCTTTGGAGCTGACAATGATGGTTCATGCCTGTTATTCCAGCTACCTGGGGGGCTTAGGCAGGAGGATCCCAAGTTCAAGGGCAGTCTCAGCAACTAAGCAAGACCCTGTCTCAAAATAAAATTTAAAAGGGGCTGGCACTGGGGCTGGGGCTCAGTGGTAGAGCACTTGCCTGGCATATGTGTGAGTACTGGGGTTTGTTCCTCAGCACCACATAAAGATAAATAAATAAAAATAAAAGTATTGTGTTCATTTACAACTAAAAAGAAATTAAAAAGGCTGGGAGGGGCTGGGGTTGTGGCTCAGTGGTAGAATGCTTGCCTAGCACGTGCGAGGCCCTGGGTTCGATCCTCAGCACCACATAAAGATAAATAATGTTCATTTATGACTAAAAAAAAATAAAATAAATAAAGTTATTGTGTTTAACTACTTCTAAAAAATAAATTTAAAAAAACTAACTAAAAAGGCTGGGGATATAGTTCAGTGGTAGGAAGTGTGAGCCTCTGGATTCAATCCCTAGGACTGCAAAACCAAACCAAACAAGACAAAATAAAATATCTTTGTGGACTCATACTGAATTTGTAATCAAATTCAAGTCATTAAGTCTTTATCATATGAGAATCATCACTTTTGCTCTGTAGTTGTAAAGATAAAGAAAACCATGAGAACATCTTATTTTTTACTGATTATGAGGATATTATAAATGATTTAATAAAATTTGAAAATCAAAATCATGATTTTTAATAGTTGTATTTAATTTTCATTTTCATCATGTGGACAAGCCAGTTTATTTAACTAATCTCCTAATGTTATATACTGTTTTTTCCCCGTACTAGGGATTGAACCCAAGAGTGCTTTACCACTGCAGTTCCTTTTTTTTTTTTTTTTTTGAGATAATGTCTTGCTAAATTGCTGAGGCTGGCCTCCAACTTTGATTCTCCTGCCTCAACCTCTTGAGTAATAGGCATGTGCTACTGTGCCAGCTTAAGACTGTTTTCAAATAAATTGTTCACTAACATAAATCATGTTGCAGTGGATATCCCTGAATGACAAGGCCCTCCAATCTGCCCCTCTGACTTTACCTGTGCTGTTTGCTCTCTTCTACTTCTCAACACACTCTAGCCACTCATGCCTTTTCTACTGTTCCTTGAGATGCCAAGCTCATTCCTGTCATGAGCTCATTGCATTTGCTATTCTTCCTCTGATTTTTTCCTGACTTTCTCTTTTGTTCAGATCTCAGACATCTATCCACTCTTTTCCTAACCTATCATTCTCAATGGTTTCTCTATATTTTCTTTACTTTTCTACATCACCATCTAAAATTATTTTGTTTTTCTGTCTCTTTCCACAAGAATGTGTTTCATGAAGGCAAAGTTCTTAAACTCTATTGTTGTATTCTCAGTACCTAAAAACAGTACATGGCATATAGATACTCACAAAAGTTTCGTTGAATGAATACATCTATTTACATACCAATGTCTAGTTCCTTAGTATAAATTCCTACATGTATAGGAAGAAATAGGATAGGGTCAAAGGACAGGAAATCTTTTAAAGTATATGTGCTGTCAAAGCAAGAACAAC